ACCCTTGGTTCTCCCTGCGTGATCTACAATAATAATCTGCTTTGCGTTGATGTTTACTGCTGTGTTGCTGACAATTACCTGAAGGAGAAGTTGGGGTGCTTCACTGGGCTGGAAAAAGTTTAGCTGCATCAGAAAGCAGGTCTAATGAAGCAAGTTTATTCTACATATATAAAAGGCTAAGTTGACTCACGCATGCACCATTCACATAAAGCTCTCGCTGGCGCCAATAGCACATGTGTGTGTTTCCATCTGTCATTGTCGATTATGAATTTGGTTGACACTTCTATTATAAAGGGCGGAGAGTGAAGTTACAATATTTCTTCTAATTAATGTCCTTTTGATGTGCATGAATCCGTGCCCCGGGCCTCGTTAACAAATAGCTGAAAACTGCTTCACCAGTGAGCTCTGAAGTGTGAACTACACAGGCCCGCCCTTCACCCACCAGGTCAGCACAGCCAGTCCCAGCTGCCTTGGAGGAAGGGGGGGTGGGGGGGGGAGTGTGGAGCGGGGCCCCTGGGGGGGTCAGGCATCAGATTCATCAGACTCGGGGTGCAGACCCTGCCCTGCCATCCCTCCAGGTGCACATCCCAGGAACGGACAGTTAGGCAGTGCCACACGGACACTGTTTCCAGGGGCACCTGCTGCAACCGCAGGGAGTCACTGACCCTGGTCTATGGACGTGGCTCCTTGTCCCTGGTGCCCGCCCAGCCCAAGTCTGTCAGTTACAATTCCAGGCCTGGCAGCCCAGTGCTCAGTAGGCACAGAGTAGAAAACAAAAACAATGGGAGAGAGGAAATTCTGCGAAGGAAAACAGTCCAGGCTCCCAGGGAGCTGCTGGGCCAGATTAGCAGCCCCGCCCCTTGAGGACAAAGAGCCCACTGCCAGACCAGAAACGTTTCTTGTGGCGAATACCACTGGTCTGAGGTCTGCTGGCTCGGGCAGATGCTCCGGCCGCAGAGTTCACGGCCTCTTGGCTGCTTTGAAAGAGCCTGCAGCTCATGCCCACGTAACTGGCTGGGTTTCCAAGATTACAAACGCCGTCCGACCCTTTGGTCCCGTTTCAGCCATGCCCGTGGAGACCACCCTGGGAGCATGGGGACCAACGGGCTATGGCGAGCGCCCATCACATTCTGAAGGGAAAGAGGGGCTACTATCCTTCCAAGTTACCTGTCACTGTGGGCCAGACTCATGCACACGTAGGACGGACAGCCTGGCCCGCCCCTCGGGCCTCTCCCCTCCCCCTCATGCTCAGTTGAGAGCCACACCAGAGCGCGGTGCTTCCTTACGTGGTGCTGGGCAAAGCGGCCCCACGCGGCCGCGCCATCACCGACAGTTCCCAGCCGTGCTCTACGGGACCAGGCCGGGCAGGTGTCTCCTCCTGTGCTCCCCAGGTGACCCGAGCCAGGAAACTGGGAGTCCCCTCTGTCACCGGCCGGACAGGTGACTGTGCAGGCGACCCAGCCTCCGAGAAGCCGGCACCGGCACCTCGGCCCTCGGCATCAGGGGCGCGGAGAAGCCAGCATCCAGGTGCCTTTGTAAGGGGAAGAGCCAGTGCTCTGCCAACACCAGGGATTCCCAGGACCGAGAGCAGCGAGAGGAGCCCGGCGGCCGCCCCGTCTCCAGGCGGCGAGGCTGCTCACAGCAGCAGAGGGGTGCTCGGCCGGGTGACCACCAAGCCCAGACGCTTGACCGGCTCGAGGGTGACAGGAGCTGCGCTGTCTCCCTCGGGGCTGGGCGTCGGGGGCAGAACAGACAGGCTACACATGTGCTCAGGGAGAGCAGCGGGGGGAGGAGGCCAATCCGCACCAGCCCTCCCCTCCCAACCCCAAACGCACCCGAGCCAGCAGCCCGTCTCAATTCTGTTCATGGAACATTTGCTCCTCGCAACCCTTTCATTCAAGGAAGAGATCGGTCCTGTCCTGCCCCCAAGTGCAGGCTCACGAGGAAGGTTCAAGAAGCTCTGAGGCCCAGCCGGCGTGGCTCAGTGGTTAGTGTTGACCCATGAACCAAGAGGCCACTGGTTCCATTCTGGGTCAGGGCACATGCCTGGGTTGTGGGCTCCATCCCCAGTAAGGGCGTGCAGGAGGCAGCCGATTGATGACTCTCTCAACAATGTTTCTATCTCTCTATCCCTCTCCCTTGGTCGACCTCTGAAATCAATAAAAACATACTTAAAAAAAAGCAGCTGTGGGAAGGGGAGGGAGGGCAGGACGCACGCTGAGGCCTGCTGGAGAGCATCAGCTCAGGGGCCTGGAGGCCTATCCAAAGGCCCTCGCTCTCAGGTCCTCTGCAAGACGGTTACCACGGCGACGCTGAGGCCTCCACAGAGCACCCACCTCTCCCTAGTCCAGGCTCACAAGGGCCAGTGCAGGTTAATGGCCAGTGAGCTGAGCAAACCCAGAAGCGAGAAGTGAGCAGAGGCCCTCACGGCCGGAGCAGCACAGGGGCGCCAGCATGGACCCTGGAGGAAGCTGGACCAGTCAGACGAGCAGACACAGCCCGCGGCCGAGCTGGGGAGGGGACTCTAACTCGGGGACACCCCCAGGGGCAATGAACTACCACCGCTTGGGATGCTTCAGCCATCCTGGCACAGGTCCAGGGCGCTGGTGCTGTGGGAAGTGACCACACGGGGACCCGCAGGCCGCCCAGACAGACATTTCCGGGAGGACCACACAGTGGCCCCTGGGGACAGAGGCGTCTCCCTTCTCCACTGGATTCCAGAGGTTCTTCCAGGACGGGGGCGGGAGGGGCACGGTACTTTTCCACAAGCTCCCAGGGCCGGGAGGCGCTCCCCGGCCAGGCGGCCACCCTCCGTAAACTCAGGTGCGGCGGTCAGCGCTGCCCCTCAGCAACGCCGGCCCCTCTTCCCTCCTTCCCACGAGAAGCAGCGCGAGCGGAGAGGCACTGCTGTCAGCGGAGCAGGGAGTGTTGTCGGGACAGCGACTCCACCTCCTGGGAGACTGGCCTCACAAGACAAGAAGGGTCCTGAGGACACGAGCCCCAGCCGACCCGACTCGCTGAGACGCACCGAAACCCTCCAAGTGCCCGACCTGCTGGGCCCAGCACCTGTGGGGGGAACCAGCAGCCCCTGCGCCCCGCTGGCCAGGGGGGGCTACACAGGCCTGGGGGGAGCCTCCGGGGATGTCCGCTGGCTCGCTCTCTCCCACAGGCCGCCTCCTGTGCTGGACCCTTGGCACCTGGCGGACACTGAACCGAAGGCCGGGACCGCCAGGGCCTGCCCCTGAGAGGCAGACCAGCGCACACCTGGGCGCCACAGGACACGGGAGAGACCCACCACAGGCTTGCTTTTCTCCTTCGCTTCCCAGATTTCTCTTAACCAACATGAACTTTAATAACGAAAGACAATCACTTTTAACAAAAAGAGCTCCCCCCGCACACAGAAATTGTAACGCGGGCCCTGTTTACCATAAAGCCGCGCATGGTCCTGCAGGACGAGGGAAGCTGAGACTCTTACGACAAAACTCAATCGCAAGGCGGCGTGTGCAGTTAGTTCACTTAAAGCAACGGGAGGGCCCAGAAAGCAGGACAGTATCACAGAAACAGTCCACGAAAGCCACAGGAGTGACAGAGGATCTGTAAGAACGGGGTGCTGGCCACGGAGCCTGAGTGGATGTAGGAAGCAGTTTCCATCTGGGACCCGGGGTGGAGAGGGGAGAAGAGCGAGCCAGCAGGCCCAGGGCCTTGGGGTGGCTGCACCCACAGCCAGGCAGGTGGCCACAAAAGCAGGGGCCCTTGACCCAGGGGCCGTGGGAGCAGGAGGAGGGCTGCCTGGGCTCCGTGCATCCCCACACCTTGTAGGCCCTCAGGGTACGCAGGACAAGTGGGGGTCCTGGGTGCTGGCCTGGCCTCTTGCCCCACAGCCCAGCTAAGCCAGGCACCTTCTTTCACACGCCCCGCCCTCCTCTGCTGCCCAGCCGGCCGGCCAAACCGGTGCACGCTGCCTCCTGAGAGCAGAGCTGCCGACCGGATGGAGTCCTGGAGTGACCTGACCCCAGGCATCAGACCCTGAGCACCCCAGCAAGGTGGCCCTGGGGAACCCATTCCCGGGCCCAGATGCCACACACACTCGTGCTGACATCTGCTCTAAGTGGCTCCGAGGGCCTGCTCTCCTGCCCCTCGTCCCCCTGCACGACAACCTTCCCCCATGTCCTGAGCAAAGGCTACCTGTCACCTGCCCTGGGGCAGGAGCCCTCTGGGGCACAGCCACTGGCTGGTCTGAAACACGGTGTGGAAGGGAACAAACATGCCGCCAGCAACAAGCCCCGCGGCCCAGCCGAGGGTTCCCAGCCTTCCTTCCGAGCGAGCTGGAGACGGCCTGGCCAGCTGTGTGACGGCAGGTCTCTACCGGTTAACCTGCCGGCAGGAGTTAGGGAGCAGCCAGAGCGCCCAGCTGTTCAGTTCGTGGGATCAGATCACTGACACGAGGCGGGACCACACAGCACTGCACCGGCTCGCGCGAGGCTACCCACCACCCTCCGCGGCACGGCGTGACTCCGTCAGCAAACCTGCCTTCACGTGACTGATTCTGCATCTCCCGCTGCTCTGACCACCGCACACCAGGAGCAATATTTCACTCAGAACGTGGTGGTAACAGGCACGGCACACATTTTCTGCGGCGGGATTACACTCTGCTAAGATGAGACACTTTTAGACGCGAATTCCTACATACAGGTTCCCTGGCCGCCGGGCCACCCTGGTCCCTGTGCACAGCCCAAAGGCCCGCTCCAGCCCTCACCACCTGGCGCCTCGGTGGAGCCATCAAAACCCCCTGGAAACACAGATCTGGTGGCTGAAGGACAGCCATGGTGTTCCCACCTAAGAGTGATGAGATTCCTGTCTGTCCGAAGTGCGTCCGGAGGACCCTGGACATGCCCACACGTACCCAGTGCCATCCTCCGCGCCACCCACAGATGCCAGCAGCACGGCCCGACCTGTCCCTCCAGGTTAGGCCACGGTGAGGCCGCGTGAGCTGCACCTACCTCAGGACGGGCTTCCGTGGAGCCTTGCGGGGCTGCGGGTGCCGGCGGTTTCTTTGCTGCCGGCGGTTTCTCTGCTGCCGGCGCCTTCTTCAACTTCCTGTTCTTCTTCTCTGGCGCGCCGGGCGTCCCGGGAGCCTTCCTCTTCGGTCCGGCCATCCTGCCCCAGGAAAGCAGACGGGAAGGACCATGCTTGTACGTGCTCCCATGTGAAGCACAAAGGTGTTTCAGGGAGCACGGAGCACGTGTAAACGTGACAGGAGGCCAATCGCCCAGCGTCATCGCCTCCGACAACCAACCCAACCATCTGGTGCAGGGGTCCTCAAACTTTTTAAACAGGGGGCCAGTTCACTGTCCCTCAGACCGTTGGAGGGCCAGACTATAGTTTAAAAAAAAACTATGAACAAATTCCTATGCACACTGCACATATCTTATTTTGAAGTAAAAAAACAAAACGGGAACAAACACAATATCTGTATTTGCATGTGGCCCGCAGGCCGTAGTTTGAGGACCCCTGATCTGGTGGATGCCTTTCTCTTTTCTGAGGTTTTAACAGGCAGGGTCGGCAAGAGTAGGTTTACAGTTCTTCGTATGAAAAATGATACAATAATTACTAAGTAATAACACAAGAATAAACTGTTTTGCTTACTCACAGCTGTAAATCTAATTTCCCCACCCTGTATATATTCTGTATTTCTTTTTTTGTATGTTTGTGTTTTTTTAATTGACTTCTCAGAGAGGAAGGGAGAGGGAGAGATGGAAGCAATGAGAAGCATCCACAGGCTGCCTCCTGCACGCCCGAGCCGCCATCCCGGCATGTGCCCTGACCGGGAATGGAACCGCGACCTCCTGGCGCATGGGATGACGCTCAACCAACCGAGCCACGTGGGCTGGGCTATATTCTGTATTTCTAACTAAACACGAACACGAAGCTTTTTAAGAGAAAAGGCCCAACACATCGACTGGTTGCCTCCCGCATGCACCTCGCCCCGGGCCGGAGATTCTTGACCAGAATCAAACCTGCGACCCTCAGTCCAAGGGCCGATGGTTAAAGTTTAACCACTCAGGAAACCAGCTAGGGCAAGAGAAATATCATTTTAATGACTATCAAAATTTTCCAAAAGCGCAAATTACAAAAACGTGTCTATTCCCGGATTATTGACCATTTGGGGTTATTTTTATTTCCTGCGATTACACTGACTCGCACCAGGGGCCACATTCATGCTGTCACCAGAGCGCTGGGCTGCTCACACGTGGAGCCCATGCTGCGCCGGCGATGGCTCCTTGGCGCGAGGAAGCAGCAGCGCCTGGGCCAATAGGGCTGACATGTGGCGAGGGCTGCATGGGAGCCGGTGCGTCTGCTTTCTCCAGCTCCACAGGACCGCGCTCCACGCGCAAGAACAGAGAAAAGCCCACGGGTTCTAATCCAGGCGCCTTTGTGGGGCCACGGCCTGGGGAACGCAGAGGAACGGTGGAGGCCCAGACCCTAGAGGCACGTCGGAGGCTCGGGACCTCTGAGTGGGGACGTATGAAGGGACCAGGCTGATTTTCGGAAGGAGAAGCAGGAAGGGAACCAACTCCAGCTGCTGGTGCTGGGGGGGGAGGGGGGGGGCAGCCAGAGCAGGAAGAAGCCCCCGCCCCCACCGGCTTCCGGCCCCTTTGGGTGGAGCCTAAAAAGGAGCTGAAAACAGAGCAGCATTTTGCCCAGACGCTGCCACGTGGGCATCGTGACGCAGGGGGACAGGCGCCCCTAGAGCTGCGACCACATGGTGACCAGCCTGCAGACACACGCGTGCATTTCCCGGCACTTCCTCCTTAGTGGCAATAACCCCATCACAGAGCAACAAGGGACTGAATAAGTCAATCAGGATCAACCAGTGCAATGGAATCCATTCAAAAATCACAACAGCCTGGCCGTGTGGCTCAGTGGGTGAGCGTCGACCGGCAGGTAGGGCAGCAGGCAGCCAATCAATGATTCTCATCAAGGATATTTCTATCTCTCTTCCTCTCTCTGAAATCAATAAAAACATCCTTTAAAAATCACAATAAATGAGAACGCGTTACAGATATAGGATGAAACATGTAGAACACTATGTGTAGTACCACCATCCAGTTTGTTTTTAAGAAAACGCTGACATAACAACAGAGAAAGCTCCATGTGTGTGTACATTCCCCTGGCCATGAAAATGTCTGTGGACATCAACAAAGCCTTTGCCTAAGGGGTGGGGTTACCAGGAACTATTTTTTTACAGCTCAGCTTTATCTTGCTTTTCTCAAGGCTCTATACTTGAAAAGCATAATTAGCACTGTGATAAGAAATCTGGAAAGAATATGAGACTGTTGACAAAGGGGCTTTGAAAGACAAAGAACTCTGCCAGCCAATTACCTTGTTGAAGAAATAAGAAAAGTTTAGCACAGCGGTTCTCAACCTGTGGGTCAAGACCCCTTTGGCGGTCGAACGACCCTTTCACAGGGGTCGCCTAAGACCATCCTGCATATCAGATATTTACATGACGATTCCTAACAGTAGCAACATTACAGTTATGAAGTAGCAACGAAAATAATTTTATGGTTGGGTCACAACATGAGGAACTGTATTTAAAGGGCCAGAAGGTTGAGAACCACTGGTTTAGCAAATATTTACATAACAGTTACCATAAAAGTTAAGTTAAATCTATACTCATTCTGTAAGTTATCATTAAAAAGTTTAACCACCAAGTCTATTTGCTAAACGGGGGAAAAGGCTTCCACATTATAAAAAGGTTTCTTTTAATAGTTCCAAGAGATGGCAACTCATGAATCTGAGACAATGTTTGTATAGAAAACTCCATTTCCTCCCACCGATAGTTAACGCGCCATCGACAAGGGGCTGAGACCATTCGATGGGAAAGAGCAGCCTCTTCCACAGTGGAGCTGGGAACTGGACGTCCACATGCACCGGACGGAGTGGGACCCTCCCTCACACCCCACAGAGCTCACTCAGAAAGGGTAAAAACCTAAGCGTGAGAGCCAAACCAAAGTCTAAAAAGAAAACCCAGGAGCAGCGCTTCACGGCCTTGACAGCAGCTGCTTAGATACGACACCAAAATGTAAGCAGCAAAAGGAAAGACACAGGTAAGTGACCGGTCAGAATTAAAAAGGTTTGTGCTGCAAATGACACAAGACAATAAAAGGGCAGCCTACATACGGAATTGGAGAAAATGCACGCAAGGCTCATATCTGACCGGAGACTTGTACCCAGAAGGTGTCAGAACTCTTGCAACTCAGAAAAAAAAAAAAAAGACAAAGACAAATAGTCTTATTTAAAAATGGGCAAAGAGATTTGAATATAAAATTTCCCTAAGCTACACAAATGGCCAATAAGCACACAGAACGATGCTCAACATCACGGTCATTCGGGAAATGCCAATCACAGGCCAGGCCGCTTGAGTCGCTGGGCCGGCTAGTCAGACGCAGAGGACGCCGAGGACCCAGAGCTCCCTCTCACGGCCGGTGGGATAGGAAACGGTCAGCCGCTTTGTAACGGGAAGGGCACCTCCCAACTCCCAGGGCAGAGGCCCCTGAGGGAGGGTCTGGGCCCCACCGTCCTCTAGGTCTAGGGGCCAGTCCGGGGGGCCGGTGAGCGGAGCCCCAGGTCCCGCGTCCAGGGCGGTGGCTGTGCTCTGCCCACTTGGATGCAGGACTATTCCAGTTCGGACTTGCCCACCTAGACACATGGCCTCCCCGTCTGCCCTTCTGCTCCCCTCCCGGCCAAGCTCTAAACCCTGTGATGACAAGCACCCCACCCACCAAGCCCACCCCCATCTCTCGCTCTTTCCAGCTCACCACCTCTGCAAGCCTCCTCACCCTCCTCATTCCACTTCCACAACCGCAGGCCCATGTCCATCGTTACAATCTCGCCCTCGCAGGCACTCAGCTCCTTCTCTGGCAAAACCCCGACTCCGCCACCTGCGCCAGCGGCTGGAGGCCCCCAGGACCAGGCTGGCGGGTCTCCCCAGCCCCACCCAGGAATTCCCCCGCTTCTCCCAACTGCAGCCACTGGCCAGGACCGGGGCCTGCTCGAACCTCTCCTGACCTCTCCAGCTCCAAAGTCGTCCCCCAACCCCTCCATTCTCAGCGGAAGGCCTTAACTCCCTATCACCGACTGCCACAAGCTCCTAGGTCCTGGGACCTGTCCTTCTCCCGTTGCCATGGAAACTGCAGACTCCCACAAGGCCAAATGCTGCTCTGGGGTGCTGGGGCCCACCCCGCCTCCTGCACCCTCTTCCTCCCCTGCCCACGAGTCAACCACCACCAGGCCCCACACCTCACACGGCTCTCGAGTTAGCTTCCTTCTCCGCAGAGACCTCAGGAGCGGCCCACCCGCACCCGCCCCAACCGGCACCAAACGCGCTCTCTCCTCGCATCCCCGGCGACGCCCAGGTGCTAACAGAGCCTCTCTCCGCTCGCCCCTAGACGTCCGCCTCGACGGCAAGACCTGAACAAGACACACACACACACAGCTCCTAACAGCTCGGCCGCAGCCTGATAGCGACCCTGATCCTCCCAAACTTTAGGAGGACCTAAGCAGCGGTTCTCAACCTGGGGGTCGAACGACCCTTTCACCGGGGTCGCCTAAGACCATCGGAAAACACACATATAATTACATATTGTTTTTGTGATGAATCACTATGCTTTGATGATGTTCAATTTGTGACAATGACATTGGGGGTCACCACAACATGAGGAACGGTACTAAAGGGTCGCGGCGTTAGGAAGGTTGAGAACCGCTGAAAGGATGCCTGAGCCGGGCCGGTGTGCTCAGTGTTGAGCCTCGACCTGGGAACCAGGAGGTCACGGGTTCGATTCCTGGTCAGGGCACGTGCCCGGCTGCGCTGGATCCCAGTGAGGGGCGTGTTTTTCTCTCACTGATGTTTCTGTCTCTCTCTCCCTTCCTCTATCAAGTCAACAAAATACATTTTTAAAAAATGCCACCATCTCCAGCGACCCTACACCCCTACGGGCAGGGCCCCTGGCGCCAGTGCGGCACTCACCGCGGGGTCAGGTTCCGCCTCCCTCGCGGGAAGACCCCCGGCTCCCGCTGCAGGT